CTCTTTCGCTTTTGCTGTCTCTCGAACTATCTCTCGCTGTCTGCTTCTCGCTCCCTCTCGCTCTCTCTGGCTCTCACTATTGCATCTATCTACTCTCACCACTCATTTCTCTTCTCTCTCTCCTCTCTTCTCGTGTGTGTGTGTGCGTGTGTGTGCGTGCGTATGTGCGTGTGTGCGTGCGTGCGTGTGTGTGCGGGCGTTCATGCGTGTGCGTGCGTGCTCACATGCGTGCGTGTCTGCATTATTGATCTTTACACCCAAACCCTCTAAATAACACCATAGCTGCCAGTTCAAGTTTCTAACTTTGCGAGGTAATGGGGCTTCCGTGATTGATTACGTACGAACTACCGAGTATTGATTGATCGTGGCGGCTTTAGAGGTTGAGTGAGCCACAAATGTTCGCCTAGCGCATATTGCACGCACTGACAACTGTTATTAAACACGTGCAATCTTCTTACCGGTACACACGGGTAATTATTTATCATCATTTATTTCCACGTGTATAGTCAGTAAGTTATATGATTATAGTTTACGTGCCAGTGCATGTAAACGAAATGTTACAGGATTGTCTGCAGGAGGAGAATTTATATATCTACGTCTCACAATAAAATAAAAAATCAATCAAAATCAATCAAACAAAATCATCATCAATTAAAATATTAGGAAGGCAAAATATTCCGAGTTTTTTTTCAAGCAGGCAGAGGAAGTGTTTTTCGAGGTATTTTTATGAGTGACACCGAGCTGCAAAGCGTAGCTACGGAAATGAAACGCGTTTTATGCGAGTTTTCCCTAAGATGATATCGATTCTTAGCGAACACGGCGCAAAGAATTTCTGAAGGACTCTACACAAGCAAACGAGCCGTGTGCGCCCGTGATAGCGATTCAGAAGCGACATTATCACACCGGGGTATATGTTGAAACATGTGGGCGTCACGCTGGGAATCCGACACGTGAATAAATGTGCGTCGGATAAAATACGCAGCGACAGGCGGAGAAAATTCTGCAAATCGAGTAAAAAACGCAACGAGAGAAAAAACAACGATGAATTGAACGCGGTGCGTACATTCGTGTGCGAATATGAATGCGCGCCCGGTTAAATTCTAATCAGGCCGTTGACGTAATAACGAGCATAACAAGAAAGTAGACATTTTAATATTTCAAATAAATTCGAATGAATAGAATGTCAATAAACCTTAAAAAGAACACCGGAAAATTGTTATCGCGATAAGCGCACGGGTTTCCTATACGTGGCAATTGAAGCCGTATGCGAGATAGCAAGGGATGGAACGCAAACGGAAGTATGCATACAGCCATTGTGGAGATTCCAGTATATGCGATACGCTAACAGCATCATTAGATACATCCGTTCATCACAACATTCTTCATAATCTATTCACGCCATAGTTTCGAAATAATTATTTTTAAACGAATACGCCGTCTGTTTGTTAAATGCTCGATGTATTTACCACGCGAGTGCATGGATGTGCGCAACGTTGCATAACGCATCAATGCCATTAACGCCTTCATTCGTAATTACCCCTTACTGTTTACCTAGTAAAATGATCGAAGAAACAATCAAAACACCGTGTGCTCGAATATCATTTACCGTTGCGTGAATTGAGTTGATTTTAGGCGAACGACCGACAGACTGAAATCGATGACAAATGCATCTATCATGCCATTATCTGCATAAATGAAAAAAAATGTCGGCAGACTTTCACTATACCGTTCGGGATTGCCCGGAAGCCTTATAATAATACATGCAATTAACTAGATGACAGGCTTTTCCTGCCCGCGGGACAGAAACGGACACTGCGGAGCACCGCCATCATAATACCTGCGCAATTTTGTCGAATCTACCGAAGAGTTCGTTGAGAGTTTTCACCAGCTCCGACGCCTCCATGCCGTGAGCTAGCGGCGTGAAGTTGACGATATCCGCATAGAGAATGCTGCAAGAGCAAGTTATACCTGATTAACGAACGATCGCCTATCGCCTATCGCGCGCGCGTGTGTGTCTGTGTGTGTGCGCGTGAACTAGTGCAAACTTGGACTCATCTTAGAAATCCTACCTATACATTACACGTCAAAATGTGAACATACGCACGTATATATTACCCCCTATTAGCTGCGAGCGTGTTTGTCGGCTGTCGTGGACGCATCGCGGATTCCCGCCGCGTCTCCTATTGCTCGTTCACGTCATTCAATTAATTACCACGGAAGGGGTACTGCCTGCAGTAGACTGGACACATTTCATTCACACGCTGTGAGATATTGACAGGCCCTGCCTGTCGAATTCAATCACGTTTCTCTCTACACGTGTGTGTGTGTGTGTGTGCAAACCGGATTGTTGAAAAATCGACTCGGTGAGCGAGTGTGGAAAGGGGGAAACTGAGCGCGAAGCCGTGTGAGAGAGCTTCACGTTAAGAATCGCTCTCGCTGTACTCCCGAGGCATTCTCGCGTGTATATATATAATATATACTAGATCGTATTCTCTTCGCGGACTAGATCGTATTCTATATCGTGCATTAAATGCGTTGCATTTCGTGGTTGAGGAAGCTTATATACCGAATTACCGTGACGCGAAAGAAATTGCCCTGAAGCTGCATAAACTGCCCTGGAAAGTCGCTAGACGGTCTTCAGTAGATGCCATGTTGTTGCTGTAGGAAGACGGAGGGGTGTTGCTATCCCCCGGGCGTGGAGGGACAGTCACGTGATACAGTTGACGTATACTTCAAAGTCCAAATCTTCCACAGAAAGATTCCACAGTCATTCTTCCGTACTAGACATGGCCTTATATCCCTAACCCTAACCCTAACGCTAACCCTAACCCTAACCCTAACCCTGATCCTAACCCTAATCCTAACACTAGTGCTGCCACATTGCGGTACTGTCCCTCCACGCCCGGGGGATAGCATTTCCCAAGACGGAGGCAGCTATCGTGGGCCGCGCATGCGTAACGCTATACCATCTCATTCACGCAACACGTATTTTATGTTGCACGCGAGAAAGCATGTCTACCTAATAGCGTTTTTTGATAGTCAGGTTCGATGCGTAAGTCAGATATTTATTTACGTTTTTTTTATTATTCTCGTGTCTATTTGCTTTCCAGGGGTGATGCGCGTTCCATGCAGAGAGTCATACAAATGCATCCTACCGTAGTAATTCGCTGTACGTGATGGCGTGTGGAGAGGTGTCATTTCCTAGCGCTAGCAAGAGTAAATAATACTAGATTACTGACTGCAGTCGCGTCTTGTTATATTATTATGCTTTTAGCAGAGGCGACACCGTGCATGTGGACACCGTGTCTGAAATAGATAGCTATACAAACAAAAGTCGTGATAGATATATACGGCGATAGCGAATGGATGCTGGCAGCGTAAATGAGCAATGATGTCCTCTCTTCAAATGTTCATCGTGTGATGACTAACGCGTAACTTAGAAGTGTGGTCAACAAGTGTTTTCACAAGGTACCTCTTCGAAGCTACGCCCCTCCCCCCAGCAACGCATCAAACGGGTTAACCAAGCCATGCGACCATTATTTTTTCATGAAAACGTCTAAACGTCATTGAAAACACCAAAGTGAATGTCGTCTCCGTTACAAGGCGGAATGCGCATGACGTTACATAAGCGCCAGTGAGCCTTGAGGGTTTTGTCACTAGACCCGTTTTATCGTCTTCGCGATATCTTGACGCCGAGCGCCGGGCAATTACAAGAAGCAAACGATTTCTTTCTCGCGCTTACCTTATCGTTTGGTATTTACCAGCTTCGTCACACAAACGTCGGGATCACGATACCTTGGTGTGTAGGCTGCGGACCATCCATGCATCCCGCATTACCTATATACCTTTATACCTATATACATATATACCTATATACCTATATAATAATATACCTATATATCTATATACCTATATACCTATATACCTATATATCTAACAGCGCTCAGGATCAACAGCAAAGCTGTGCCACGCAATCTTGTATCATGTCTCTCTGGTTTATTGATGTCACACTCCTCCCTATTATCTACTCCTGCTATTATCTACTTCTGATATATATATGCGTGTCCACATGTATTACGCATGCCACATATCATTGCACCGGTCGTTTGCAGTGCAGCCGCCAAGTATACGAATTACGTTGCTGGAAAGCATGCATTAACGCTGCTGCCGGAACGATATACGACTCCCAGCAAGCATTGTCAAACATAGACAATTTGCAATGTGTCACCGTCGGAATTTATGGGTGATGGGGAAATGTTACCCTGCGTTGTTTCACATCTGGCCTGCCACAATCGGCCCTTTGGTGAGATGTGCATGAGTTCTAAATTAATCATTTTGATAGCGCTTCTGCTCATCATCGCTGACATTGGCTGTTACATAACATGCACTTTCAGTTCTCTTATGAATAGCGGTTACGTGTTGCTGTGCGCGTTTGAGTGAGTGCGTGTTCGTATGCGTCCGCGTGTATTTCAGCCTACACTATAATTGTGCTGTAAGGGAAGGTTTATAAATAAGCAAATAAATCAAAAGCAATATGTGAACGTTACGTTGATTTCATTAGTGCCAAGTTAGTGTACATAAACGAGTATACTATTTCGATATAACGGGACTTTCACTACGAGTAAATGAATCTTGCAATGGCGCCGGTTCTTTTCATGGCGACTTGCATGCATACATGGGCATGCGAACTAACTAAGGGGAACTATAACTAATAAAGAGTGACATGTCTGCCTAGCGTATTGACTAAATTCATCTAGATGTCATGAAGAAGAAACGCGGCAGGCGTCTCTGAGCGGTGCACTCAGGCAACCTCAAAGGACTTGGGGAAAAGGTCTACGCTATAGCTATACCGGCGTATTTTATGTTGGTGATTGTTTTCCCATATTTATGCTCAAGCTCTGGGCAAGATGAGTTTGCACGAAGCAAAGCGAATGTTCGAGAGAAATTGTGACGATAACGCAGTTTTGAGCAATAATCGGTAGCACAATAGGCAGCCACGCACTGGGTATGATGCGCATATAGGTTATAAGATTCTTTGCAACAGCGTGTAGTACAGCGCAAGCATCAGCTATAGAACTGGAGCCCGTTGTCGGAAACGTAATTGGTTTTACATTTCTTTTGGCATTAACTTTTGCTCTTAGACTGTTGACAGACATATTCTAAAGTTTTACGAGAATAAAAATCATAGCAAAAAAAAATCAAGCCGCAATAGCTTTACGAAACAAAATTCTGTTTTTGCTTTGACAAATGTCAAGACTAATTTTAAGATTAATTTTGTAATTTTGTTTCTAACAACGGGGCTTTGGTTTATAGCCATCGCGCTTATTCAATTCTTAAAGTATCTCAAAGTGAAAAGGGTGCAATCCACGAGATTGCATGTGCCTACATGCACGTGTGCGTACACGCTCGTGTGCTTACGTGCACGTGTATACGTATACTTGAGTGCGTGTGTATTATGCGTTAGCGTGGTACATAACTTAATTTTGGTGTAAAGTAACAACGTTTTTGGCGCGTGTGTGTGTGTGTGTGCGTGCGTGCATTTATATGACTGGCGTATGCGCGTGCGTGTGCGTGTGTGTGCGTGAATGTGTCCGTACGTGTTGCGTGCGACTATGCACGCGTGTGCGTGTATGCGTACGCGAATGCCTGCGCGAGGGCGTGCGCTCGCCTTCGTGCATTCGGGCATGCGTGTCTATGTGCGTATGCCTAGTGTGTGTGAGAGAGAGAGAGAGAGTGTGTGTGTGTGTGCGCGTGTGTGTCGCGTGGACCACGAACGATAATAAAGCACTATTTCCCCAATAAACTGTGTCTATGACATGTTATCAGATAATCACCAATTTTATTAATTTTCAATTTGATTAAAGCATTTAATTTGAAACGGTATCCACAAAATATCTTTCTCAAACACGCACACAATGATATTGAGATTGCGCACATTACCATGCACAAGCGCTAACCCAAGGAATGCTAGCCCAGCAGATTTAGACCATTAATTCACGTAGTTCTGACTCATCAATATCGATATCATTCGCGTGTGGTGCAAGCTTTATCATCTACAACCACAAGATGAGTGGCACATTGAAGCAAGTGCGGACACATTGAATACAGTCATCTTCGTATCGCCCATGATGTTTATGAGTCAATACGAACCGGGTCTTTGCTTCACTTGTTTGAGTCATGTCTGAGACGCATACTCCTACAATGAATGTGCTCTGACTGCGCTCTTATCCATTACGGCAAGTAAATACTTCAATCGAGACCTCATTACTGTCGAGTATATTTCAGGCAATCATTTTCAATCGATATCCTTTGCCCGAAAAAAAAACATACAAGAAGAAGAGTTTCTGTGCAACATACGAATGCACTGGTTAGTGATACGTGATGAAACGCATGCATGTGCTCCGTGGCATCATTGTCCGTTAAGCGATAACTCTGATAGCGAATATGAAGTGTGTGTGTCGCACAGCGACAGTGTGACAGCTGACTGTCTGCGCAGAGTGGTGTGGCAAGATGCGAATATAGTTTGAAAGTCTATGTTGAATTCGTCTCGCGTTTGCGAAATACAATTAAAATATCTTCCTTTTCCGTCAATTTCAAGTCTCAGTCATAGAGAGTCATACAATGCAATTAAAATTTCACAAATGGCATTACATCCTGTGATATACTGTTAAAATGATGCGATTCTAACGCAGTAACGTTAACCAAATGCCAAATCAGTCGTCATGGAGAAGGAGGAAGTAGACGAGGAAAGGAGATAGCGCCGGATGTCAGGGACGAAGTAGATTATAAGGAGGAGGGAGGTAAAGGATTCTCTTCATCTATATTTCTCCCACTTTGCTACATCCTACCTAGTATCCTGTAGTAGTAGGCCTACCCTAGTACTACGCTAGGACCTACTCAGGCATAGCTTTTCGCCGCAACCTGACACACACGCACGCGCGCGCAACGTTTGCAAAATTTATGGCTTCAACTCTGTGTACGGAGTATCGAGAGCACATGTCAAGCTAAGTTAGATTTCCGACCATATTGTTGACGGACGGACGAACGGACGCTCATTGCATTCCACAAGCTGCATCTGAAGGTCAGATGAGCTGAAACTTACAGTAACAGATAACTTAGTGCTATGAAAAAAAATCGTATATTCGTATCTATTAGACTTTTTGCAGAATACTTAAGCCGCGCTACACGTATACCGCCAGTTACAGTGAGCCTATTTATAGTAGTTATACTTAATGCTATAATAATGATCTACATAACATTCTGTTGTATGGAAAGCGAGCTGACAGTCATGCAACCACACCGTTTACTGGATCATTTTGCCTCAACAACGAAAGAAACTTTTGAAAGTCATATTTTAATCTGTCATTACTTACTACTAGAAATATGATCAACGTGAATTTTACCAGGAGCTAATGAATGTATCATTAGCTCTTGATTTTACGCGTGTGCGTGTGTGCGTGTGCGCGTGCGTGTTTGTATCTGCAGGCATTCGTATTATGCACGCGTGTGTGTAGATCGCGCACAATCTCACGAGTGCTATTCAAAGTCGAATACACTGTAATAGAAACTCCAGTATCTTTACAACTTACTGCATACTTTGACAGTTGGCTTAATTATGTACACGTATGTTTGTACTTTAACGGATACACGATATTATTAGAGTTTCTTCGAATGCAAGTATAGATCAATGTAATTACATGCGAGATGCGCGTGGGGGGGAGGTATTTTCTTGGGTAAAATATGAAATACGGAGCCACGCAATTTTGAGAACCAGAAAAAACGCGCGAAAGTTTATATCGATTTTTGCGCGTAATGAAAGCGTTTGTTGCACTGTAGTCGATGCTAACTATTTGAGAAGAAATGTTACCTGGCTTCAAATATTTCTCAGCGTAACCGTTCTTCGGAAACCGCACGATATTTTCCTAAATGTCACATGTGCACGCCGGGTAAAAATGGCCGCCGATAAACACACAAACCACAAACACACACACATACACACACACACACACACACACACACACACACACTCACGCACGCACGCACGCACGCACACACGCACGCACACTATATACCTATATACCTATATATCTATATACCTATATACCTATATACCTATATACCTATATATCTATATAACAATATATCTATATACCTATATATAATATACCTACATACCTACATACCTACATACCTACATACCTACATACCTGCATACCTACATACCTACATACATATATATACCTATATATAAATATATATCTATACATACCTACTTATACATACATACCTATATACCTATATACATATTATATACCTATATACCTATATACATATTATATACCTATATACCTATATATTTATACACCTATATACATATATACTCGTGCACACTCACCGCACATGCATATTGCAAGCATATACATGCCATTCGGAATATGGGCGTAACACATACATACATACATACATACCGTCCTAAATTTCAATGTGGGGCATTTGGCACGACGATATGATCGTGACAAGCCGCGCGGAAGTAATACCCTCACACGGACACGGACATCGATAATGCTAACACGGTAATTCTACCATAACTCACCCACCCACCCTGCACCCTGTGCCTCCCCCTGCCCCCGCCCTCTGTCTGTTTGTGATGGCGCGCAGTATACGCGAGGCTCAGCGAAGATGAATTGATTTACGCGTTCGGGAATTGCGCTGATATAACCAAGTATATATATACCCAGATATACCCAATTATATATACACCCAGATATACTCAAGTATATATATATATATATATATATATATATATATATAGATACCCAGATATACCCGGACACCAGATACCCGAACACCAAGTATATATAGACGAGATTCTTGTTATATACACAGACTCCGTACGGTTGAGTATACCAGGTGTGTTACTATTCGACGCACGCACACAGGCCTCTTGTATGCCGACTAGTAAAATAAACCAAAAGAAAGAGTTAAAGCCGCAGCCAGCGTAGCCGCTAACACAACTCCGTTGAAAAAACACGGATACAGCCACTACACTAAAAGAAAACATTGTAGACTTATCGAGGAAAATAACGAATCCAGTGAAACGAGCGGATGTGAATGACGTCAGGCGCAGCGGACAACGACGGCCACGCAGTTTGAACAGCGACGGGCCATTTGCCGATGGCAAGCGAAGCCCTATGAATGATCTCAACTGCCGATGCGCAGCCTGCAGATGGCAGTCAGATGTCGAGGCGACATGTGGCGTAGAGGTGGGGATCGAGAGAGAGAGAGATAGAGAGAGAGAGAGAGAGAGAGAGAGAGAGAGAGAGAGAAAGAGAGGAGAGAGAGGGAGAGAGAGAGGGAAAGAGAGCATGAGGCGACGAGAAAGGCGAGCAAGAGAGTAGCAAGGCGAGAGAGAGAGAGGTTAGAGAGACAAGAAGAGAGAGTGAGCAGAGAGAGAACGAAGAAGGACGAGAGAAGAGAGGAGAGAGAGTAGTTAGAGAGAGGACGAGAGAGGGAGAAAGAGATAAAGAAAGAGAGAGCGAGAGAGAGAAGGGGGAAGAGAAAGAAAAAGAGAGAGAGAGAGGGGGGGAGAGAGAGGAGAGAGAGAAAGAGAGGAGAGGATCGTACCAGAGCATGCGCTACCGAATTTGGAGTACACGAAATAGCGATGAACGATGCAATGCACGATAACGCGCGCATGGTGTAATTCTCACTGGTAATTAGACTGGCCCGCCATAGTGTTAATGAGGATTAGATCGACGGCAACTCTCGAAAGCCAACACTTTCCGCGTTCATTGCACGTGAATAATTAATACAGGTAGCCGGTTAATAGTAATCGAAATGTCAATGTATGAAGCGTGATTAAGGTGCATGTTAATATGATTGATTAGTAACTGCATCTGCGTCTGCACGCTTCATCACTTCATTACAGTCTACCAACTAACTAGCCGTATAGTAAGAAAGTTGAGCTCTCATTAAGTAGTTAGCCCCGCAGTACTGGGTCAAGCCGACCTCCTTGCTGACGCTGAGGCTGGTCGTCGCTACAGTCTTTTACGTCATCGATGGTTCTTTTACGTCCTCATTACTGGAGACGGCCCCGCCATCTAAGTGGTCATCCGAGCCCCGAGGTGTTCACAGTACCTAATGTCGATAGGTTTTGATTTCTATTGGAGCCAGGTTTTACACATTGAGCGCATTCACCTTCCTACCAGGGGGTTAGAACTCACAGTTTTCGCAGGAAACGGTGTTCTTACCTGACATTCTTGTGCATCTGCACGTACATCTCGTGGAACATGCTACTAGGGGGCGCTGACGGTCGTCGAGAGATGTCCGTCGACGACTGGTGCATTTTGAGCACAATGCCTCGCTTCACTTCGGCGGCAATGTACGCCGGTATGACGCTCAACAGCAGCTGCTCCTGTAACGAAGCGACGATAATAGCGACGGTGATGACGGTGAAGATGACAATACCGGCGGAGGCGGCGACAGGCGACGATAAAGCAATCGTAGCTTCAGCGCCAGATGCCGTCGGTCGCGTGCGACTGCCACTCGAGAATTTATGACTACCGTTTAGGAGGGGAAAAAAATCTTTTTAAATCGCGGGAGGTTTTCATTTGCGAGTTTTATTTGATCGTTGGATGTTAGTTAACGTTGAAGGAGGTACTCGGTTTGTTGATAACCCCGTCTGGCCGTGCTTATAGAGGGGACTGTTGCTATTATTATAGAATATCGTGCTCGTATATGGCCTGTATTAAAACAAATCGAGGGCTTCGATATGATCTCCGCCCAGCTACTGACCGATTTTGAAACAACACCACCTATATGTCTGTACGTACCTGTTACAGTAGTACCGTAAGAGTACTACTGTAGTAAATTACTTTAATTTTATTACTAAATTTCTTATATGCGATGCCACGGGAAGACGTTAGGTTGAGAAAATATCTCGTTTTATGTCTGGAAAACGTGATGCATAGCGCGAGTCTCGCATAGAGCGACATTACTGTTCGGTTAGCTAGTTCGTCTCACTTTAATCTGTCGGCCAGCATTTTGGACTAACCTATCGCGATTAAACCCTAAAAGAGTCTGATCATGAATTGGGAATGAATATTTCCCGACAAATCCCTTTGCATTAGACAGGAAAACGTAAACGGCGGTTTCAAACTCATACGATAATCATGAGTGAATTGGGACTGATTTAATCATAGCAATGCACTGCGTCGGAGTTAACATTTTTCATGCACTCGTATATATCATAATACAGTTAATCCGTCCGCCAGTATGTGAAATACTGACATAGCGCCCTCGCGTAACAACGTCACTATTTCATATACGCGGCGTAGAACTATGTAGAACTGTTTCGTTTCGGTTACAACTGATACAGCTGTGTGATCAGCTTCTTGGACCTAGTCTGTGTGTGGACAGTTAGTCCAATATAAAGGGCAAAGGTGGTTCATAGTCCAATGAATGTCGAGCTTTGGGAGTTGGAGTACACTTCTTACAGTTAGACATAATGGTCTGCGAGACAGTTAGACATATCTGACTGTTTTAAGAGTCCTGATCCTTCAGATCAGCTCTTTGTAGCAGCATGGTTACTAGAGTCTTGAGATTTATGGGAACTGAGTTCTGCTGGCAGTCAGAGGTGAATGAAGCATTAAATTTGAAACCGTTTGAGTGGAAGATATCATTCCGCACAATTTTTGCAGCCTTAGCTAGAATCATTGCTTCATCCTCATAGTCACTCTTCAATGCCTCTTTTAGCATCTGTTGCATGCCTTGTTCAAAAACAAGTATGCGATTCTTTCCACCACTTTGCTCTGGTGCATTTGGAAAGTACTTAAGAACTTGCTCCTTGAAGCGTACTTTGCTGATGCCAAGATCATGCAGACGACTTTTATACAGGTGACGTAGCATTAAAAACTTGAAATAGAAGGTTCCATCATCAACAGCGTTTTCTACATATGTGATAAGTTCAGCAAGGGCTCTGGCTTGGAATTTTTTCTCTTCTTTATAGCTCTCAGAGAAGTCCTGGTTTTGCCTCGTTAAGAAACGATGCCGATTTCGAAGTCCAACCAAGCAAGCCAAGTGATACTTTGCATCGAGTGAAATTAGGTCACCACCCTCAATCCTGGATAATAAGTCTGTTTTATGCAGATCTTTGACCATGCTCCTCATATTATCATCTGTTTCAAGAGTACTGAACTCATGTAGGTTTCCATCCTGTATTTTGCAGAATATACATAAGCTCTTGTCTACGGGCTGGCGGTGTGGACATCGTTTCTCATCTCCAGCACTCTTCTCGGCAGTAAAATCATCCCTCTCTCTCTCTCTGTTATGTCGACCCTGTCGGGTGAATAACGAAAACCGTAGCAAAAACAATCTTAACAAGCATAGGTAACATGTTCAATCAAAATGATTATTATTGATACTTATTAACAAAATCATTGTCGAGCACAAAACAAATACAATACTACATTTCAATTATAGAACAAGTTACATAATTAGGCCTATATGCACGTTACATAATAAAACATTATAAGCACGATACCTTAGCACGACTGGCCAGTCTGCGCGCACCACGCTAAGTGCACGATCTACACAAAACCTCTCATTCGGGGTTTCCGACACTTAAACCTTAGGAAAAACCTAACGGCACCTAGCAAGGCCAAACATAACTTAAACAGGTAACACTTCACAACATCCTCCCTTCTTGAAAATTATTAAACAACTCAACTATGGTTTCTCAAATGAAATAGATTTTCAATTATTCAAACGTACATTTATGAAGTGTCCTCAGAACTTTCTAATAGCCGCAAACGTGCTATTGGCCGACGTATTACCCCTCTCGGCGTTTTGACTGCCACTGACCGTACGAGTCCATCACGACCTAAATAAACTTCCTCAATCTTACCCAGAATCCACTCTTGTTTCTTGTATTGTCCTCCGTTATTAGAACTATATCCCCAATCTTGGCGTTATCACAACCTTCAAACCATTTTTTTCGTACATTCAACTCCGATAAATACTCCTTTTGCCATCTGTTCCAGAATAACTTGCTGATACGCTGACGAAATTGCCATCTTTTCCCAATACTGGAATCCCTTGTTCTTGCATCAAGATCGGGCATAACTTGCAAGTTTCGTCCAATCAACAGGTGCCTTGGCGTTAATGGCAACGGGCCTTCCTTATCAGCGGATACCATTGTCAATGGTATTAAATTTAACTGAGCCTCCACGTCAGTTAAAACAGTCACTAGCTCATTAAACGTCAACTGTGCTTTCCCAGGAGCTTTCGTAGTAAAATCTTAATGCTTCGTATAAGCCGTTCATAGAAACCTCCTTGCCATGGAGCCTTTTCTGTAATGAACTTCCGCTCTGTTTCATCATGCCGCAAGCAATCCTAAATCTTTTGCTTGTCCTTCTTGGCTTTGTACAATAACTCCAGCACATTAGCTGCCCTCTTGAATGACTTCGCATTATCTGAGTACAGAACACCACATTTTCCTTGCCTGTTTGTCATCCTTTCAAACGCCTGTAAGAACTCCCCAGCTGACATGTTCTCAACCAGCTCAAGATGTACAGCTCTTGTTGTCATACAAGTAAATATTACAATGTAGACTTTCTTTGTGTCATCGCCTCTCGATGTCTTTACGTAAAGTGGGCCGGCAAAGTCAGTTCCCACATACAAAAACGGTGGCGCCTCTGTTTCTCTCTCTGCTGGTAATGAGCCAATTTTCTGCTTCATAATGGTTGGCTCTCGACATTTCATACACTTGTTTAATATCCTCCTTACTTCTAACCGACCTTTTAGTAGCCAAAATTTACATCTCAGGTTAGCCAACGTTTGTGCGATTTCAGTGTGACTATGCAATTTGTGATAATGCAAAACTATCCTGTCGACTAATACATCGTGATTCGGCAATATGATTGGCCGCCGTGCCTCATCAGGAAGCAACGATCGACATAGCCTACCACCAACACGAATTACACGCTTACTTTTATCCCACACGGGCGACAACGGCAACAATCTGCTAGTCTTTGAAACCGGTTTTCCCGCTTCCAATAGTCTCATTTCTTCAGGAAATGCCTTCCGTTGAACGCGGTTTATCCAGAACATCTCTTCATTCTGATACTCTGTCAAATTCAGAAGAGCATCATCACTCCCCTCGTTCGGAAAGCTTTTGCGTCTATGCCGTTTCAACCATCCTCTTATCATTGTAAAGACGCTCAAGAACTTTGAGTATGATTCAAATTTCCCCATATATGCTGTTAGCGGGTCATCATGGTCTGCTTCTGATTTCACGTTGCAAACAATGATCCGTCTAAGCTTTCTGTTAGCTTCATCATACGACGTCTTTGTACTAAGCTCTGTTTGTTTAGGCCATTCCGCTTCGTCCTCTTTCAGAAACTCTGGACCTTGCCACTAATGTTTATTGTTTGCCAAAGCTGAAGCATTACAGCCACGAGAACAAACGTCTGCTGGGTTTAACCTTTCTGGTACAAACCTCTATTTCCTGGCTCTACTAGTGATTGTATTGTAGTCACACTATTCCCTACAAATACCTGCCATTTATAAGCAGGCTGACTAATCCAGTGCAATACGATATTTGAGTCTGTCCAACAGTATGTTGACACCAGTGGCAGCTTCAACCGAGTCTTCACGTATTCTATTAATCTTGCTGTAATCAGAGCAGCCTTTAACTTTAGTTCTGGCAGTGTCCTTTGCTTGTCAATAGGGGACACCCTAGTCTTTGAGCATAATATCGTGACGTGGTTCTCTTTGACTTCGGGGTCCGTAACAAGCAAGTAGACCATTGCTCCATACGATACCTTGCACGCATCACCAAAAGCATGCAGCAAGAATTTTGGAGCCTTGAAGTTTTCTGGTACCAAAGGTCTTCGGAGCTTTATTTTACTCCGTTTCTCCACATCTGCCTTCCAAGCTAACCAAGCCGCTGCTAAATCTTCTGGTAGAGCGCCGTCCCAACTTCCTGTTGTTAACGAAGCCTTCTGAAATATCTGTTTTGCCTTCAATACAAATGGCGAAAGTACTCCCATGGGATCGTACACCCTGTGCAACTGCTGTAACACTGTTCGTCTAGTTTCATGTTTCACATTTTCCATTTTCTCATAGAACGGGAACATCAAACCGTCTTCATAAAGTATGTACCTTACCCCAAAATTTTTTATTGCGTATTCTTCTTCAACAAACGTTTTCTCGTGACATGCAGCCAAATCCTCCCTCTCTAAAAGATCGAGAGCACCTCGCTTGTTAGATGCAAACTTTCGTAGCGGGAATCGTCTCGACTTCATCATAGACTTTATATCCAACGCCAATTGCTTGGCACTTGTAACGTTACTAGCTCCAGAGATGACATCATCAACATACATATTTTCCATGAGCTCATTCGACGCGTCCGGAAACTCCTTCTCTTGGGATTTCACGTGATCATGGACTGTCTGCATGCTGCTGAATGGAGATGGTTTCAATCCGAACGTTACTCTAGTTATATCTGTAGACATCAGGCAGTCTGTGCTTATCCATGTCACGCCACAGAAAACGTTGCAAATCCCTGTCAATATCATTGATCATAACCTGATGAAACATTTTTTATATGTCGGCTATTATAGTAACAGCATGTCTTCTAAAACTGAGTAAAACAGCCAATATGTCCGGTTGAAGAGCAGGCCCTGGTAACAGCACACTATTAAGTGATATCCCACTTGGCCCTTTTGCTGACCCATCAAACACTATCCTACACTTTGTAGTGACCCGGTCCGCTTTGACCACTGGGTGGTGGGGCAAATACCACACGGGATTCTTAGTATCTTCTTTCCCAACCAACTCTGCTCTCCCAGTCTCCAGGAGCTCGCATATCTGGTCTTGATACGTTGCAGCCAACTCAGGATCCTTTTCCAACCTTCGTTCAATACCATACAGCCTTTTTTCAGCCACATGCCAATTTGATTTTAGCTCCACGTTCCCATCCAGATAATCTGGGTGAAATCTCAAACCAGTTTCATAATGTATACCAGTGAAATGCGTTTTCCCTGATGTTGCCTCATGGCTTCAATTTCTAGCCCTGACTTCTTGGACTGCGTATCAGCTGGCAGAATTTCAAGATGCTCTAGTTCCCAATGCTTCACAGCCATATCTATGGGATCCTCAATTTGAAAGTAGACTCTGTATACACCAGGTGGTGAGGTTTTCCTACTAATCTTAGACGAATAGGGTCCTGCTAGAATCCAGCCAATGTGACTCATCTGTGCAACTGGAGTACCTGGGGGTCCACGAATCACTAAACCCATCATAATGTTTAGTGTATCTTCTACTCCAAGCATTATGTCAACGCGTACCGCATCTTTCCTCGGAAACTGATCAGCCAATTGCAAGTTCTGTAGGTGTGGCATCTTTGACAGGTCAACATGTACTGCAGTCAAGTCTGCACTTGGTTTATCAATGACGTACGCTTCAACCTCAAATGTCTCCCCTTGCCATGACGGTAACGCAGTAGACAGCTTAAACCTAACTCGCTCTGTCTTCAGGCTCATAGCTTTACCACCTGCCAGAGTGAATTTGCCATCAACAGCGGAACCCTTCAATCCCAGCGTCTTCGCAGCTCTTTTACTGATAAAGGAGACGCCGCTACCACTATCAAACAAGACACGCGCCGTGATCATTGCTGAATTCGATTCGATTTTGGCAACCCCACTCAACATCAGCAGCTCCTTTGGGTCTTTCATGGGTTTAACTAGTCCAGACGCTGACTGAATCTGACCACTAGCCACAGCGTCAATAGATTTCCTATCAGGTCCAGCACCACCTCGTTTACCAACGTTCACCTCGTAATGCAGGAGATCATGATGGTTCCCCTCGCACACCGAGCATCCCTTTACCATTTTGCAATCCTTCCTTAAGTGACCTGGCCTCAAACATCTGAAGCACGCTCCCTTACGTCTAGCGTTGTTGTACTTAAGGCTTGTCGCCATTGCATTCGCTTCGCTACAGTTGGACGACAAGTGACCCTTCTCGCAAAATATGCAATTCTTCCATTCAGTTCTGGATACATTTAGGGCTTGACCAGTGTGCTGTCTTCTTCTATCCGCATCTAGACCCGTGTCTCGCCTGGGCTCCTCCCTTCTGGATTGCGATTCTGTGCGCCTAGATATCTGCAGTGCTTCATGTAGCTGCTCCAGCATCTTGTCGAATGTCACCGGCAAATGAAACCTTACTCCCATTTGTTTCTCTTCGTGCATTCTTTCCGAATCCCACTTGCGAAGTAAAACATTTGGCATCTTTGTACGCACGAGTGCTGTCAATAGCCAACTGCTTTCAATCAGACTTACATTATTACCAGCCTTCTTCAGCAAGTAGTTCCAGCTCGAAACTAATCTAGCATACAAAGGATCTATCTCTCTAACAGTTGGAGCACTTGCCGCCTTCGCTGTGGCCATGTCTTCTACCGCTTATCTATTCTATATTCTAGCCAGCACATCACCGTATTTCGATTCAAGGGCCATGATTACTTCGCTGTGTGTAGGATCTTTCAGTGATGCAGCTATTTTCATTGGCTCACCCTCCAATACCGACAGGACGTAGTGAGCTTTCTCCGCCTCACTATAGCCAGGCTTCTTGAACTCTTCCTCGACCAGCGAACGCCACTGATCAAACATATTCGGATCACCGTTAAATACAGGGATCGTTATTTCTCGCTTCCTATATGTTAATGTTTCCAATATCTTTGCGAGTTGCTCTGCGTTGATCCCCGAATTCATACTCCTGACAACTTCCTTCAGTTCCTCAGTGATATGTTGCGCTATGCTAACCTCACTAACTCTACTGGCGCCCGCTTCACTTCCCACCGAATCACTATGGCTATGCGCTTTCGCACCTGTCAACCATTTGCTCTCAAGATGTTGCACTCGCGCATCGACTGTAGAATACTGCTCTCTGTATTTCTCTTCATTGTCTTCATCTCTTCCATCTGCTTGTCGCGCATTCGCATCCAAGACGTCTCAAACGTTTACATTTTCCGGATCAATTCTATAGCGTCCTGAATTTCCATCAACTTTCATATTGCTGCGCAGCTCGCCTAGATCCGCTACACTTATTCGTACAGCTATTTCTAACTCATCGCGAGCTCCCACCACACTTGACTCGGCTCGCTTACAATGACGTATCAATGTTTTGCAAAAGCTTAAGTAACTTTATACGGTTCACCCGCCTTCTCTCTAAATTATCACATAATGCGTCGTACGACTTAACGACTGGTTATCGCGTGATTCAATTTCCAAGTCAAATGCTCAACAACGCAGCACGCGCGGCGCGGCGCACTAGGCTACAGCGCGCTCCAACACACGCGCCGCGATATATACCTTTGAACAATGATACACATAATTAATGGCACAGCATTCTTCGGCAACTAATAATCTCCGCTCGAAGGACCATACGTTTATGTCGACCCTGTCGGGTGAATAACGAAAACCGTAGCAAAAACAACCTTAACAAGCATAGTACCATGTTTCAATCAAAATGATTATTATTGATACTTATTACAAAATCATTGTCGAGCACAAAACAAATACAATATTACATTCATCATACAACAAGTTACATAATTAGGCCTATAATGCACGGTTACATATAAAACATTATAGCACGATACTTTAGCACGACTGGCCAGTCTGCGCGCGCACAGCCTAAGTGCAGCGATCTACACAAAACCTCTCATTCGGGTTTCCGTCACTTAAACCCTGGAAAAAACCTAAACGGCACCTAGGAGGCCAAACATAACTTAAAACCAGGTAA